TTGCATTCAAAACCCTCTCGGTTCTGCATATGTAACTGACGCCGCAGTTACACTCAAAATGGTAAATATAGTGTGTTTTGAAGCCGGTGGGTTCATCTTTTGCTGAAGGTAGCGACAGTTTCCGGGTTTTGTTGATCACTACAGCATCTGCAGCGCAGTAGGTTCTCTGAATGGTAGAGATTAACCGCTTTCTTGTCCTCGTTGTGACCGCGTTACCCTTAAGTGGGATTTCCAGATATACCTTTTTCTTAGGTGCTATCAACCCGTTTCCTTCGGCGGTCTGACCTGGCTGTGCTTCTCGCTAACGCGTTTAGAGTAACCGTTCTCCATGAGTGTTCTGCTCATTGCCTCTATCTCCTCAGCCCGACAATCGCTCGAGCAAATACGCCTGGCACGAATGAACAAGGTTTTCACCAGTGCACGCTTGTGATCCATCGGTTTGAAACTGGTATTTGCCGGACTATGTTGGTTTCTGGTAGACGGACCTCTTAACGAGCTCGGTATCCCTTAGACTGATATGAAAGCCCAGCTACGACAGGCGGTCATTCATCTCGAATTCATGGATGACTTTTAAGTTGACATGTATGCTTGTAAGCTGGTGCAGCAGGCGCTCAATTTGAAGTCTCGAAGAACCGAACACGAGCATACCATCAACATATCTTTTATAGCAAGTTAGTTGAGAGAGATCTCCACTTGAAATCCTTTCTAGCATTATCATATAAGTGTCGGTCAGTACGGGGTCTGACGGACTACCTATAACTAGTCTATCGATTTGGCAGGATAAGACTCGTTGGATACGCAATTCAACTTTTTCTGTCGGTATTTACATACGGAATTTTTCGACATCAATCAACTGCCATATGTAATCGCCCGTCTCGTTCAAGAGGACATCAGTAGACAACGATTGAACCTCTAACGAGCACATGACATTGTTGGCTAGATTAATTTTATCTAGCTCTGCATTGGGCCCCAAGGAATCCTTAAGGATGTATAGACTGAATTGTTGCTATGTTTATTACTAACCAACGCGCCAATTTTTGCTGCTGGGCATTCACCGTTGCTGAAATTGCTCGGAGTGGCATCCCATTCTTGTGCCTCTTTGGAAATCCATACAGCTATGATGTTGATGAGCCATTTGCCTTAAGAATCTTCGAAATCTCCTCCTCGATCTCACGATGTAGCAGAAGTAGTCCAAATAACGAATGTTGAGAGATTCTGTCTGAGACAGGCTCTCCCGTCGATCGATATGTTGAAATGTGTTTTCATCGCTAGCATGCCCAGCATTTTCTGAATGTAGTCGTTTCGGTTCATGACTACTGCGTCCTAACAGTTTCAATACAACCGATCCCTTATCCTTCTGCTCTCGCAACGTCTGCAATTATCCGCTTGTACGCGCACATTTCTCGATCACCGGTGCCACCCGAATCTCATGAGTGATGTCCGTCAGTTTGTTCTTAAACCAATTGACAGCGTCCTATCTGGTTTGCTGGAGCTCTGATAACTGGTCAGTAAGCTCTCGAACGGATAGTCGGTTCATCTTGTTTGGATTGACTGTAATGAAGACCTAGATGCAAGGCTTCTAATTGTGGATCATCAAGTTGCACATTTGATATCTTCAGGACATAAGTACTAGGATCTCGATTGACGTTTTCCCCATTGGCCTCTATCAATGTGTTCCGTAGACTCTGTCTGCACTTTCCTTCCGTACGACCAAGTGCCGTTTTGACAAAAGTTGGTGAGAATTATACGATACAGGGATAGATCGTTGAGTACTGGCATCAGACGAGCGTGGGTCTCCATCAGGCTTGTTAACCTGGATTGTATTGTATCCGTCCGAGCGGAAACCATACGTCTGAGTGCCGTGTTAGATGGTGTAAGTTTATTCTTACGCAATAGCTTCAGCATTGACCGTGCATACCGACGCAATATCACACTCCGAGAGAAATGATATTACGGCATTCCCGTATAAGAGCGAAAATTTGTACCTCAGGTTGTTCTGGTGGCAGTCGAACTGTTGGCTGAGCTTCGCAAGTTTGTTGCCAACGTTTCGTCACCAATCGAAGTGACATCATCAGTGCGATGTTCAGTAGCGTAGCGTAGGGAAGCCTCGATGAGAGTGCGTCGGGCGTCGTGTGTATGCGCTTTTATATGTGCCCGTGTTTGCCCGCGGAGCTGAGCAATCCTATTGGCTGGGACATCTGTCCGTGTTCAGCTTGTTGGACGGGTATTTGACTTTGATCTCTCCGACTTATGCATTATGAACTTTGCCTGCTTACTCCAGTGCTCAATTATGTTGCTCGCTCCATTTGTCTGGTCTTCTGATCCACCGGATTTAATCGGTTGGGTTGGCGATCCCTCGACCGTAGTGTGGCGTATGCTGCTTCCAATTCAATGTGTCGCTTAATTGAATTGGCACCCATGAACTACAAAAAAGCTGCGTTCTAGGCCTATTCAAAAGAGCGGAAACACGCTGCAGTACAACTGAATTGAGAAGGTTAGAAGCAAATCATCTGTACCGATTATTTAAATACTATGGTTATCCGAGAGACTTTATCAGAAGAAGATTAAGGAAACAAACGTCTCAGCAACAACAGCAGTCAAGAGAGCAGAGAAACAAACGAACGTTTCTGAAATCACAGGAAGGTCACATAGAATTTCGGTGGCCCACAAACAGAGTGTCACCTTAAGGAAACTGATTTCCTTTCCAGGATAAAGTCGATCATAGCAATCAAAACAATGTTATCTACCAGATAAAATGCAGTGAACGTGACAAGAACTACGTTGGACAAACTGGAAGGAAGGTTCGTACACGAATCACCGAGCACAATGCTGCCGTAAGCAGACATGATTCGAATTCGATGATTTTCGCACATGAAGATCAAGAAGGCCACCACTTTGATCTGGAAAATGTGAATATTCTGGCGCGTGGGAGTACAAAACATGCGAGGGAATTTCTGGAAACATGACCCTCCACAGCGGATCCAATTAACCGACACTTTGATCTGGACGCAGCATACGCCACACTACGGTCGAGGGACCGCCACCCCAACCGATTAAATCCGGTAGATCAGAACACCAGACAAACGGGACGGACAACAGAATTGAGCTCTGAAGTAACCAGTCAAAGTTCACAATGCACAAGTCAGAGAGGTCAAGGTCAACTACCTGTCCAACAAGCTGAACACGGACAGATGTCCCAGCCA